TCGCGGACGAGAGCCAGAGGTCAAAAGTGAACGAAATATCAGACTCATGGAGTGTGAGAAATGCAATTAGCAGGGGAACCAATTTCTCCACGAAGAGTCGGTTGTCTTTCCAGCGAGTCAGCTGGGGTGTCACTTGGCTCATTGAGCTTCTGATTGATGAAAGTTTGAGTAAGCTGATCTTAGTATCTCGAAATCTTGTAGTCAGATTCTACAACATTCTTTTTTCCCCCTCTTCTTTGTCTCTTAGATGCTCGCCGCAATGAACCAGTCTATCCCATAGAGGAATGAGAACATCCGTCGAACGGATCGAATGTTCGCTGTTCAGTAATGTCGGCCCGGCGAGGATCGAGTTACAAGTTTGAAATGTTGGCTAATGATTCTTGAATTCATTGATTAACGCACCTTGTGTGCTTCAATGAAAACATTTCAAAATCGACAGAGAAGAAGAAAATGAAACACGGAGTCAAACACTTCCCAACGGTGAGGCTACCTATGAAGGCGGCACTTGATGACTCAGATGAGGAAATATTGGGCAGGCGCCGGCTACGAGGGCACCTCAAGCTCGTTCCTTCCTTCCATGCATCCAAGTTCTCACCCTCCGCCCCACTCGAAAGGTGAACTCCCAAGTTTCGCCGTTTGTGTTCACCATCCAAAAACAAAATTCTACTCGCAAGCTTCGCGTCTGATGTGCAGGCATACAACTACCCCGACGAAGATATTCCACGAGACTGTTTATACCCAAATCTTGTCGTCCGCATTGATGATGAGCTTCCTGCCGATTACACGGTAGTCACCTCAGATCTGAACTACTACTCGTCTTCAAAAGGAATGCCCATAACATGGATCCAATACCATCTCGGGCGTCCCCACCGTCAGTATGTCATTACTATCGCTCCGTCAAATGGAGGTATCCTTTTTTCTGACTTGAAGCAGTACAAATTGACCAAAAAGGATCGCAAGCGTTCATCCGAAAATCCTCATTCCGACGCATTCCCAGCAATCGTCTTGCTCGAGACAGACGAACCCGACTTTCTCGGCTTTCCTGGTACCGATATTCTTAGCAGCAACGTCACCGCTAAGCATGCCCGCGAAAGCTTTTCCTGGCGTTTTTCTCTCTCGGTCCCGAATTTCGATCACTCAGTCTTGCATCTCGACCTTTGCATGAGAAAAAGTGGCCATGGCGGGAAAGAGGTGGACACCGTTTTGCTCAGCGTCGATATCCCAGACACCGAAACTGTCGGTATCCATCATAATCACCTGAACTCTGGCCAAATAACGCGTCTCTATCAAAAGTACGGCCAAACGACCGAGGCAACGGTCGGCGCCAAGAATCTCGAAGTTGAAGTCAAGGAGGTTTTCCCACGCTGCCGGCTAGGACGCTACGATATCCAGCTTTCAGCTCCCGCCAAAGCCCTTGTGACACGGATCAAAGAACAAATATCGTGCGTCAAGAAGACGGGTCAGACCAGCTTTACCATTCGGCTTTTACTTCCCATGCACAAGGTCGAAAGGAGCCATCCAGTTGAGACATGGATAGCGCTGCTCTTGGATGCCTATTCTCGCAACAAGCAAAGTGGCGGACCATTCAAGCCCTATGATACCCAGAGTCGATCTCTTTTAGAAGCTTCACGCCGACCACACGTGGCTTCCACCAGGGCTACCCCTCGCTTCTGGTCGAAGGACCAGCATATTGTCTACCTCCGGTACGGCCTCACCACCGACTGGGAACGGAAAAGCGGTCGAGATGAAGCTGTTAAGCTCTCCATATCCCCAAATGCTGTTGCCATTCCTGTGAGGTTTCACGATACCTCAGGCGACCCCACCGAGTACATTCTTGTTGTCAAAACCGCCGGTCTGGATCTCGATTCGCGGCGTCAATTGCCCCGACTTCGATCGAAAGTTCGCATTCAAGCCGCCGTCAAAGTTACACGCGGCTTTATTCTCTATGACGAGTACGATTCCTTGAGTTCCGCTTCTCCAATGACTGTGGACTTAGATTTGAGCAAATGCGGACGTGATCTGCGGAACATTTACAGTTCCGCTACTTCAGCAATCGTTGGCTGGGATACAAGTTCTTCCGGGGGTGATTCTATCAGCGGCGTGGAACGAAAGTATCACGAATCAACCAAGGCCTCAAAACCCATAGATGTTAAATCGGCGACTCAAGCCGGTCTGCAAACTCTCTTTAATTTGATATCGCAGCTGTTGGTGGATCACGGAGGTGTCTCTATCAAACACAGAACCGAGTGTGTCAACTTTATGATGCGATTGGTTGCTGACAAATACCAAGATCTTGTGCGAGAGAAGTTCGGCCAGCTACTGAAAGCAACCAAACCTCCGAAGACTGGCTACAAATCTTGCCATGTCCCCAGAGTATGGTGTCTTATCGAAACCTTCATTGAAGACCTAGTATTAGGTGGTTTTACTCGCCAGCCTGTTCATGCGCAGAATACCGACATATGGTGCAGCGCCGAACGCATCTCTCTCCCGTCTTCCAAGTGGAATTCTTCTTGCCACATCTATCGAATGAGGCTACCCATTTCAGATACAACTTACACATGGAAGAATGGTGGAATTCCGGTGAAGTTGAAGTTTCCAGCGTTTCCTCTGGACCTCACTGAGGACCAAGTGAAGGAGAGGGTCATGTCAGGAGACTACGATGTCAAGATCGTAATAGACCATAAGACAGAATGGGACTTTCGGATGAGAGCGCTTCAGAAAGTTTTCTTTGACTTCGGACTTTCTGCAAGTCAAATGTCTCGTCATGCGGTGGAGGACTACCGAACGATGTCTCCTCGGCACTACACCATCCTTGGGTCAAGGTTTCCTGCGCTAGCTCGTATTACTTCTGAGACAAGGAACCAACAAAAGGCACCATGGGCCAGAGCAACTCACAATGCACCATCATCTGGACAGAAACGACTCATTCAGAAAATCTCTCAGTCGCCTCATTTCTATGTACCAATCGTTGGTGGGCCTGGAACGGGGAAGACGACGACTATGATCTTCCACACCATGCTCACGGCTATGGAGCCGCTTTCTCGTCCTACTTCCAAAACGGAAAGAATCGACAAGCCATTCGCGAAAATCTTGGTACAGGCGGGCACCAACTCGACCTGCGACGATATCTGCGCACGATATGTGGCTATGGCAAAGGCATACGATTTTCAAAAGAGCTTTCAAGTCTTACGCCTATTCGATGTCAGGGACGTTCTCGAGTGGGCTAGATTTACAGGAGTCGATGATTCGGACCACCCAAACTCATTAAGCTACGAATGGGGGCAAGAGCAGCTTCGGCGTCAGCGTGCGATGATCCAGCGAATATGCCAAGAATGGAAACGTCAAGAACATGGCCAAGTGTCATCACCAACCACACCTGGAAGCTCCTCTTATCGTAGCAGAGTCACAGTCGGAGACTCGGACGAGTTTCACCACAATACAGCCAACAGCAGTCACCAAACTCGGGTACCCGAGCTAACTTTAGTAGGCCTGATCGCAAAACGACTTAGACAACCAGTCGAAGAATTGAACAACTGGGATGCTGAGCTGAAAATTGGCATCATGAAACGCATGAAAGAGAAAAGTAATTATGTGCTTTGTGGTTACGACTCGGATATATACTGGTTAGCACGTGAGATTGTGCTTTCCACCCAAGTCGTTGTCGGTACGCCTGCAGCAATCTGCGCTTCGTCGAAATTCCAGCAGCTTTTTCGGGCAGACATTTGTGTTCACGAAGATGCTGGTTCATCAAGCGAAGTCGACACTATGTGCCTGATTGCGGAACAAGATCCGTTAGCTTGTTTCCTTGTTGGCGATCCCGATCAGCAGGAATCAGCTTTCTTTTCGAACAGAGTAAGTGGGGATGCCAGGTTCAAGGCCATACAGGAGAGCAACCCGTTCGCCAGTCAGCTCCAAACTTCGCTATTGAAAAGAATGGTGGCGTCATGCATGATCCCCAACGATGAATACCTATGTACCGATCACAGATCAAACGGCTTGGTGAGCGACGTCGTTTCAAAAGTCTTCTACGGCAATCGCATCATGGCAATGCAGAAGAATCCTTCTCCGTCGCCAACACAGACTCTATTCAGGGACGTGGTCGCGCAAAAGTACGGCCAGGAGTTTTCTGGATTTGCCATCATGATCGATGTAAAGCATTCCAAAGAGATCAGTTCGGCAGAGGGATACTACAACCCCAAGCACATCGATGAGGGCTGCCAGTTTCTACAAACCATCTTGAGGCCTCTTCGCAAACAATTCCTCCGTGATCACACCGATTCGACCCGCCCATTTTCTGCAGGCGTAGTGACCCCGTACAACTCTAGCATCACTGAATGGGAAAAGGCGATTGAAGATGCGGGAATCTGTCATATGGAGGCACATACACCAGGCACGATGCCAGAAAGAGATTTTGTCATGGTTGACCTCGTGAGATCCGACGACTCTGGGAACACGGGCGACAGGAGTTTGCTGATATCCACCCTTTCTCGTGCCAAGTCGTGCATGGTTGTATTGGTCAACACCAATACTCTCCGCAAAACCCACACCCCTTGGCTTGCCAGAGTGGTCAACTACTTCAAGGGTAAGAAGCGGTTCATCGAGGCTCGATAGTATTGTTCTCACAAGACCTTTTGAGTATCTCGCAAAGATTGGGGCAGACTTTTGGTGGCCAGATGGCAGTCACTGTGTTGTTAGCAAGGATCAAGGCCATGAGAAGTGCCTTTCGTCATATCATTATCGCCCAAAAGGAGCGAGGAGAACCAACTTGGTAAAATGTAACATTTTGTGGTCAAAATGAACAGGCTTTTATACTCTATGTCTATGTCTATGCCAATGATACCCCGCAAAAACCCATCCCCGCGCGAAGTTTTCAAGCTTCCTGCCAAAATAAAACGTACTTGGACCTGTGAATAATCCACCAGCACGGCTTAGACACACTTCTTAAACTCCTTGCTGCCACGGTAATCCTTCGACACCTCCACATGGGTCATCACGCCGCATTAAACGACCGATCCCTTGCTGTTTGCGTAGACGACGCGTAGCGGAGAGACATTCTGGTTCTTGACCTTCTCATCCTTCTGCCACACAGCACCCTTGTAGCCCTGCCAGAACACGGGATACTCGTACAAGGTGGGTTTGCCTTTGGTGCAGGCCTCGACACCCCAGTTGATCTTTTCCTGGTTTCCGAAGACGTGCGGGTAGCTGCTCTTGCCAGCGGCAAATCCGGCATTCGTAGCTTCGATCTTGACTTTTTCGATCTCCACGACAAACTTCTTCTCCTTCGCCTCGCTCTTGGTAGGCGTGCAAGTCACAGTAGCAGGCTTTTTGGGGGCTTGCTTAGGAGCTGACTTGGGAGGCTGTTTGATAGGCAATGTAGGTTAGTGGGTGGTACACAGGAAATTGGAGTGTAACACTCCGAGCGTTACAGAGGTAGCCGAAGAAAAGAAGGTCGCTATACATACCGCACGAGCTTCCAGATCATTCTCAGTGGCAGGAGTCGGGACGGCCAAAATAGGAGCCATGAGGAGGGCGACGGGGATCAGAGTCTTGATGAAGTGCATTTTGACTGTAAAGGAGTGTTGTTTTCTAATGAACTTGGTCTAGAGAGTGTGAAGGAGTGCTTGTTGAAGGTGTTGATTGTTGTGATGCGACATGGCCTACTTTGAAGAGGCTGTTTCACAGCTTATATTCTTTTTCACGCGCACGCATCGTTTCTTACCAAGATGTGTTGATTCATCTTGCACAGGGGTACAGCTACTCAGACGTTTGCTGTGAACGCAGCTTTTCGGCCATGTTGAGGTGATTCCGAATACCGATATGTTACTCTCAGCACGTAGTGTGTATATTGATGCGAAGAGCATGTTTACCGTATGGGAAAGAACGTCGGACTCACCGATCACGAAAATAGACCATCCGCCAGAGATCGAGCGATTAGATATCCGAAAAACCGAGGAGAGACGTCCAAATATGCTTCTGTGGTGGGTTCTTCTCGCAGTACAGGTTAGTGGAGAAGATCTTCCTGGTCTCTCTTGGTCTCACGGCGTTCTAATAAACTTCGACCGACCCGCCGCCCCTCTTGAATCCCTAGGTGTACCCGTTTCCGTTCCCCGGACGGCACTCCGTTCTTCTTATTTTAGACTGTTTCTGTAGATCGACCCTGGCTTAGCCTGGGGTACTCTGACGAGCGACGGGGCCAGCGAGATAATCAGCGAATTGGCCGAAAAGAGGGACAGGCGTGGGACCAGTCAGAACCAGCGAGAGAGTCAGCGAGAGACACAACTTCAGCCTCAGCATCGGAAGACCGGAACTGATCCTAGTCACACACGGCGCTAGTTAAATTGGTATCTCGTGTGGGGCATCACATCTCACCTACCTTACGGCAACTTACATCGAGGCAAGCCCAGGCAGTGGAATCCGTCTCGATCTTCATCAAACTGTATCGTGGCTCGCCAGGTTGCATATTTCTCGCTGTTACCTTCAGAACAGGCACATTCAAACGACTGCTCATTCTACTGCATGCCGGGCTTTCTGTCGCTGATAGGTTCTCATCGTCTTTGCTCTTTCCCTAATGACCAGGCCCGACTACCTCGGTTGCCCGTCTCAAATCGCGCCTAAGATGACTACCGACGACATAGACTCCAGAGCCCTGAGTCTGAATCTGTTTGCTGCCGATGATGACGAAGAGGACATTCTCTACAAACGCAAGCTGCAGGATCTGATCAACGGCACCGTGACACCGAGTGAAGCGGCGGTTGATTTCGACGCATGGGTAGTTCAAGACGCCAATGGCCGCCTGAAGGAGCTTTTGAAGAGACCCGATCCCAGAAACCTGACCCCCGAGGAAGAAGCAAAGGGCATGACCTTGCGCGCGATAGCACCGAATGCCAGCGGAAGTATCGACCTGGTGTTTCCAACCATTGCCAAGCTGTGCTCCGCATTCCCACCCTTTCACCTTGGCCAAGAGGCTATTATCCGATTCCTCGAGGTGCTCAGGGCTTTGCCCGAGCACCAAGTCCCCGACGGCATCCCCGATGGCGAAGAAGACGACAGCCATCTAATCACCCTGTGGCCGTTTGGAGAAGATTGGATGGCTCTAACGGAAATATTTCGCAGAGAAGCGGAAGGTGTGTGCTCGCATATGCGAACTTCCAAAATCTTTGGCGACTTTGCCCTGCTCACTGTTACTTACAACGCGATCTAGAATATTCGTATCCATATTCAGATATTGAGACGCCCGAAAGCGAGACTCAGGTTCGCTGGCGCAACTTCCAATCGGCAATTGCGCGCATCACCGCTCTCGGGCTCATCAACTGCGGGTTTCTGTCCGCGCTTGGCGACATAATTCCATCTAGCAGTACATATTCCGATCTCGAGAAGCGAAAGATCGGCGGCCCCAACAGGATCTCGGGAGATGCTATCGCAGCTGCGCAGTGGATCATGTGGCCCGACGAGGGCCGATTCGTGTATCAGCAGTGCAAGAAGTTTGATGAAACTGGGCCTAGGGCTATGTGGAGCCAAGAGAGATGGGAGGTGTGGAAGGAACAGTTTGCATTCATCGCTGGGGACGAGAGGTTCACTCCCAAAGCCCGTGTAGCAGCCAAGCTTTCGAGGGAGCAAATGATAGGCTATGAGGAGGAAGATAAATCCGTCTAGTAATTAGATCGCTCTTCTTGGTCTAAAAGCTCTAAATCTAAGTTTGTGTCATTATTCGATGCCAGTCATAACCATCTTCGTAACCAAAAACTCGTCAATGCCGTACTTGCTACCCTCTCTACCGAAACCACTCTGCTTCACACCACCAAAAGGTGCCGCAGGGTCGCTGATGGCGCCTGTGAATCATGTCAGCGGCTTTTCTTTTCACGATTCTTGTGACCTTTAAGGGGTTCTTACCGATATTGACTCCAACCATACCAACCTCCAACGCCTCCGCTACCCTCCAGCACCTCGACACATCCTTGCTGAAGAAGTATCCGGCAAGACCAACATCCGCATCGTTGGCAAGCGAGATAGCCTCTTCCTCCGTGTCGAATGCAAAGAAAGCGGCGACCGGGCCGAACGTTTCCTCGGAGCAGACCTTCATGCCAGGCTTCATATCGGCCAGCACCGTGATGTCGAAGAAGTTGGGGCCAAGCGCCGTCAGTGGCTTGCCGCCGAGAAGCACCCGCGCGCCCTTGGAAACGGCATCCTTGACGTGCTCATCCACCTTGGCCACCGCGCGGCCGTGGATCAGGGGGCCGTGTGTCGTCTTCTCGCCGAATCCATCGCCAACAACAAAGCCCTTGATGGCGTCGACGAGCATCTTGGTGAACTTGTCGTAGACAGCGCGGTGAACCAGGATGCGGTTGGCGCACACGCATGTTTGGCCCGATATCCTGAACTTGGACGCAATCAAGCCCTTCACAGCAGCATCGAGGTCTGCATCCTCGAAGACGATAAAGGGGGCGTTTCCGCCGAGTTCAAAAGACAACTTCTTCAGGGTCGATGAGCACTGGTTCATCAGGAGCTTTCCGACGCCGGTCGAGCCTGTGAAGGACACCTTCTTGATAATCGGGTGAGTCGTCAAGACCTTGCCCACGGAAACAGTGTTATCCAGAGCAGTGATAATGTTCACCACGCCCTTGGGGATACCAGCCCGGTGAGCGAGCTCAGCCAGGGCCAAGGCCGTCAGGGGCGCCTCAGCAGGGGCCTTGACGACCACAGTGCATCCAGCAGCCAGCGCGGGACCGGCCTTGCGCGTAATCATAGCAGCGGGGAAGTTCCAGGGGGCGATCAGCCCGCAGACGCCGACGGGCTCCTTGAGGGTGACGAGCCTGCAGCTCGGGTTGCTCGCCTGGATGGTATCGCCGTATATCCTGGGTGCCTCCTCAGAGAACCACTCGAAGAATGACGCCGCGTAGGCGACCTCTGTTCTTGCGTCGGCCAGGGGCTTGCCGTTCTCGAGGGTGATGATGGCGGCCAGATCCTCTGCGTTCTCCATCATGAGGTCGTACCACTTGCGCAGGTAGCGGGCCCTCGCTCGCGCGGGAGTCTTGCGGTAAGATTTGAAGGCTTCATGAGCGGCGAGGATTGAAGCTTCAGTGTCCTTCTCATCGAATTCAGGGCATGTGGCCACCTCGGCGAGAGTTGAAGGGTCTGCATTCAGTTTCAGTATGAGTTTGAGGTCTTGGAAACGGGAGGCAACTCACTCTCGACAGAGAACACCTTGCTCGAGGCCGCGCCCACCCATTCTCCATTCACATAACACGCCGTCTTCAAGAGTGAAGCATCTTTCAACTATTACTCTCAAGTCAGCTGCCGGGACGGTGTCGCGGGCAGACCGGAAGACCGCGGCTTCCTCGCATGCATGAGCACTCACCTGGTGTGCGCCTGACGCCATTTTGAATAACAGTTGCTAGCAGAAACAATGCACGTCAAGAAACCCTGCAGCAAAGTGGTCTGATGTCTTAGTGTGAACCGCGGCAATTGCAGCAAATAGCCTCGCGGTCCGGCGGTTTATATGAACCCCTCAATCACTCACGATGTTATCACAGGACCGCGCGTGCCGTCGCGATGCCGGTGTGCCTCAGAAAACCCAGCGATAGCGAAACGAAAGTGGGACCGGCCCGGGGCCACGGGGTGGGGTCGACAGCGGAGGGGGGACAATGACACATATCAACCCGCTAGATATGGTAAAGAATCGGACCAATTCCACGTGGGAAAAGAAACGCACGGGACAGAAAACGCCTCAAGGCGAGTTTTTGGTGGTCATAACGAGCCGCAATCGGGGGATCATGCTAGCTCCGATGGAGATGGTGGGGACTTTTCTGAAGCCGTTCTGGGCCCGGATGGGGCCGGCTCGGGACCGGCCGGCTTCGTCCCCGGCTGTCTGTCTTCGAGGGGCGAACGGAAGCTCTCGGGTGTTGCGAGATTCTGGGAGATAAATAGACGTTCTTCTTCAACTCGACAATGTTGTCTTCTCTTGCTCGCCAATCTCATCCCAGAGTCATTTCTCATCAAGATACTCTACTTCTACGCTTGAGACTCGACCTAGACAACACCCGAGATCACCGATTGTCTTGAAAGTAAGACCGACAAGATGCCTTCCTTCGTCGAGCACTCGGTCACCACGGAGGTCCCTGGACCCATGTCCAAGGCCAGCCAGAAGAAGCTTGACGCTGTCTTTGACGCTCGCGCCGTTCACTTCGTCGTCGACTACGAGAAGAGTCACGACAACTAGTATGTCCCATAGCTATCAGACGACTTTTGCGCAATTGCTAACATGCAAAAGCATCGTTGACGTTGATGGAAACAAGTTCCTCGATGTGTAGGTGCCCCTCCTGAGGTCACCGCAGATCCTCGGCATCCCACCTTGTCCCCCGCAGCTCGCTAATCTCAAACCCCTCCAACAGCTACTCCCAGATCGCCTCCATCCCGGTTGGCTACAACAACCCCACCCTCATCGAGGCCGCCAAGTCGCCCGAGATGATCTCCGCCCTGGTCAACCGCCCGGCCATCGGCAACTTCCCCTCCGCCTACTGGCACGACATCCTCCAGGACGGCCTGCTCAAGGTCGCCCCGGAGGGCATGAACCACATCTTCACCGCCCAGTCCGGCTCCGAGGCCAACGAGCTGGCCTACAAGGCCGCCTTCATGCTCTACCGCCGCCGCGAGCGTGGCGAGGCCGAGTGGTCCCACGAGGAGATCCACTCCTGCCTGCACAACACCTCCCCTGGCTCGCCCGAGCTGGCCATTATGAGCTTCAAGAACTCCTTCCACGGCCGTGGCTTCGGCAGTCTGTCCACCACCCGCTCCAAGGCTGTCCACAAGCTGGATATTCCTTCTTTCAACTGGCCCCAGGCCTCGTTCCCTGCCCTCAAGTACCCCCTTGAGAAGTATGCCGCCGAGAATGATGCCGAGGAGAAGCGCTGCTTGAAGGAGGTTGAGGAGCTTATTAAAAGCTGGCACTGCCCCGTCGCCGCCATCATCGTCGAGCCTATTCAGAGCGAGGGCGGTGACAACCACGCCTCGCCCGCTTTCTTCCAGGGCCTGCGCGACATCACCAAGAACAACGACGTTGTCCTTATCGTCGATGAGGTCCAGACTGGTAGGTTCCCCCGGTATTTGTACTCCTCCAAGACAGGACCCCCACTGACACGACTCAGGCTTCGGCGCCACTGGCAAGTTCTGGGGTCACGCCCACTGGAACCTCAGCTCCCCTCCCGACATCGTCACCTTCTCCAAGAAGGCCCAGACGGCCGGCTACTACTTTGGCGACCGCATGCTGGTCCCCGACAAGGCCTACCGCCAGTTCAACACCTGGATCGGCGACCCGGCCCGCGTCATCGTCAGCAAGGCCGTCGTCGACGAGATCAGCAAGCGCAACCTGGTCGAGCAGACCGCGCGTGTCGGCGCCGCCCTGTACGCCGAGATGGAGAAGCTCGCGCAGAAGTTCCCCGACCACGTCCAGAACCTGCGTGGCAAGGGCCAGGGCCACTACATCGCCTTCGACACCCAGAGCGCGGCCGCTGTCACCGGCTCCATGAAGCGCCTTGGCGTTAACATTGGTGCCTGCGGCAAGGAGACCATCCGTCTCCGCCCCATGTTGATCTTTGAGGAGGCTCACAGTAAGTTGATATTGTACCCTGAAACTGGGAAGCCGAGGACATTTCACTGACCTGTTATTTTGCAGTTCCTCTCCTGATTTCTGCATTCGAGAAGACCTTCTCATCTCTGTAAATTTAAGCGCAAAAAAAGCATGGCATGGACGGAAAAGTTGATTGGGCGGACAAAGCATAGCATGGGTTTTGAACTCGGAGGGTATGCCGAGATGCGGCCTTGCCCTCTTTGGAGTTGATTTTGCACTGATACCATAATGACACCGCCGCAAAAGGCGACGAAATACAATTGAAAAACATTTGATAATCGACTCGATCTTGGGCCGATCATGAATGATACTGGCCAATGGTCTTCTTCACCTGCTGCTCTTGAGATGCGCGGTGTAGCGGGATGCGCGGTGTAGCGGGTTTGTCAAACAACAGTCTCTCAAAAATTGGCAACACTACAATAGGATTACGATCTCGTGACTGAAAATAGCTTGCTGTCAAATGGACCACGGCCGGCCGCTAGTGTGGCCCCAGGCCGCGGCTTCCACGGATTCCTCCGAGTGAGCAGCCTCCGGATACATCCAGATGATGCTGGATGAACAGAACTCCGTCAGCGCTCTCTCTCGCGTCAACTGCCGGCCGGCCGGGCCCATGTGAGCACGCCGGGAGTTGACGTCCACGCGGACCGGGAACGGTAGTCAACGCGTCCCCCAACCGGCACCTTATCAACCATCCCCGGAAAACCCTTCGCCTAGATCAGGGCAACCTTGCTCAGACAGATCTCCGCCGAGAGATACGCAGCCGGGTCTTCGGGCCCGCAAAAGGAAGCCGGCTGGGGATGAGGGGTCCTGCGGTACCCCGCTCATCCCCGCGGCCCCAAGTCACCGAGATAAGATAATGATGCACCGGTGATGGGGTCCGCGCTAGCGTTTGATATCACAACGTTAATGAAGCTTGAGATCGGGCGATGAGGACGTATAAATCGTCAAGCACACAGTCCCGGATTAGGCCTTAGGAAGCAGGATATCACTCCCTTACAGCATACGTCACTATCATCCAATAATTCTCCCAGCCCTTCACAAACCCCCCAGAGAACCATGTCAGCCCCAAGGAAACACGTCGTCTTCGATATCGTAGGCACCTGCATGTCCTACGACGCGATCCACCGCGCAATCGATACCCGCCTCGGCCCCAAGCTTGCCGAGTACCAGATTAAGCCGGCCCTCCTGGGCTTCGCCTGGATCGAGGCCGCCGAGCGCGAGTACACCTACCTCAGCATCCAGGGCCGCTACCGCCGCTTCTACGACATCTTCCGCAGCCTCTTCTACCGCATGCTCTACCAGGCGGGCGTGCCGGAGCCCCGCCAACTCGCCACCGACGACGACGTCGCCTTCATCATGGAGCGCTTCATGGAGCTCGAGGCCCGCCCCGGCATCAAGGAGTGCTTCACCCTCCTGCGCGAGGCCGGGTTCACCGTGTGGGCGTTCACGGCGGGCGACGCCAAGCGCGTGGGCGGCTACTTTGCAAGGGCGGGCATCGACATGCCCGCGGAGAACCTGCGCAGCTGCGACTTTGACGGGCTGGGCAAGCCGGACCCGCGGGCGTACAAGACGCAGCTGGAGAGCTTCAACGGGGAGGAGGCGTGGTTCGCCGCGGCGCACATGTGGGATGCGAGCGCGGCCAAGGGGTGCGGGTTCAAGGGCGCGTGGTGCAGTATCTACGAGAAGGAGCCGTGCGTGGACTTGTTTGGCGAGATGGACGTGATGGCGGACGAGTTGCCGGAGATGGCGCGGAAGATCATAGCCGCGTCAGAAGGCAAGACGGCGTGATTAGGAGCCCGCTTTCGCAATTGAATACTAAGCCAACGAAGACTACGTCATTAATAATTATTCACCGTTTTTATTGAGCAAGCATATGCCGGTGGTGAAGTGATACGCTTGATACGCCGTTTATCCCTGCGTCGGGAGGGCATTTCCTTATCTTTGGGTTGAGAGGCCGAGGTATAGCGCACCGGCTAGTTGCCGGTTCCGTGTCGTCCGTGGCCGGGTCGGCCTCCGGTCTCGGAGAACCTCCGCGTTCCCCGCCTGAAGCGTTAGGAGGGCTGGCAACGAGCCGGACTCGACTTCTGGAAGTATCGGCGGGGAATCTCCAGCGTGCCGGCGTCTTATCTCTTTCGATCGAACAACAACTCCGATTGTCATCGGTCTGCAGCTTCGTGCTCACCGAATCTGTGCCGGTTGTCGGTTCATGATACTGCAACACTCGTATGCGGCGACCAATGCAGCAGTGCTTTGGATTTGCACACATTTCGTATATAGAAACTCGAAACGGATCGCTTATCAATTGATTGTGATCGTTTTCGCCGTTTGATGCTTAGCTCCTTTCGTGACATCTACCCCGGATCAATTACAGTCGCTCATGATGGCTACCCAGAAGCCAACAAACATGCGGGCCCCTGTCGCCAACCCCGTCACCTCCTTCTGGAACTCTTCTCCGCGGGCGCTGGACGACCACCGCACTACTCCAGACCTACCCGCTTCCAGCGATGTAGTCATTATCGGCGCTGGTTTTGCAGGAGTGGCTACGGCGTATCATATCCTGAAAGACAACCCGTCTCCACCTTCTATCACGATTCTGGAGGCGAGGAAAGTCTGCTCCGGGGCGTCAGGGCGCAACGGCGGACATGTCAAGCCCGACACGTATTTCAATGTCCCCAAGTACACCAAGCTCTACGGGGCCGATGAGGCAGCAAAACTCGCTGCGTTCGAGGCATCTAATGTGTATGCAGTGAAGGAGCTCGTTGAGAGCGAGGGCCTGGACTGCGATTTCCACCTCACGCGGGCTGTGGATGTATACCTTGACCCGGAGCATGCCAAGCAAACCGAGGCGGCGTATCGCAACCTTTTGAAAGCGGGCAAGGTCAACCTGAAGGACGTGGCTTTCACTCCTGAACAAGATGCCGAGAGGGCAAGTCGTCAACGGAAACGCATAGCTTGGACGGTCGCTGACGTTATGTTGCCAGGTATCCGGAGTGAAGGGCGCCAAATGCTGCTTCTCCTTCACGGCCGCCCACCTCTGGCCCGCCAAAATGGTCCACCAGATCCTGCACCGTCTTCTCGAAAAGGGCGTCAACTTACAAGCCAACACGCCCGTGAGCAGCATCTCCGAGACGCCAGACGCAGACGGCAAGTGGGCGGTGCAGACCCCCCGCGGCGCCATCACGGCCGGCAAAGTCGTCGTCGCGACCAACGGCTACACCGCGCAGGTCCTCCCGCAGTACGAAGACCGCATCGTGCCCGTCCGCGGCATCTGCAGCCGCATCACGTCGCCCAAGGGCACCCGCACGCCGCACCTGGTCAACACGTACGGCATCCGCTTCGACGCCGTGAACAACGACTACCTCATCCCGCGGGCGGACGGGAGCATCGTCGTGGGCGGGGCGCGGCAGATGTTCTGGCACAAGCGCGCGGAGTGGTTCGACAACGTCCGCGACGACGAGCTGGTGCGGGGCGCGGCGCCGTACTTTGACGGTTACATGCAGAGGCTATTCCGGGGCTGGGGGGATAGCGGGGCGGAGGTCGATCGGGTGTGGACTGGCAGTGAGTGTGCATGGCATTCCATCCCCCGTGTGTCCGAATGAGGCAGGTGATTGTTGACAAGTGAATGCGACAGTTATGGGGTACAGCTCCGACTTCATGCCGCATCTCGGTGCGGTGCCTGGCAAACCCGGGCAGTTCATCATCGCTGGGTTTTCGGGTCACGGTATGCCTGAGATTCTGCTGTCCAGCAAGGGGGTTGCGGCCATGGTAAGGGATGGGGTTGCGTTCGCGGAGACGGGATTGCCCAGCATCATGGAGACGTCAGAGGCGAGGATCTCGCGCAAGGACAGCCCGCTGGAGGAGGGATTGAAGTCGGTTTGGGAGGAGGGAGTGGTCAAGGCGAAGCTGTAATGGGGGTTGATGAGGAGATAAGAATGATGTACGGATATGCACAGGCTGGGTGCATGAGCATGACAGGGAGTAGCTGGCCTGTCACTGTTCGTGGGGTGCCTATCCGGGGGTCAATGAAGATTACTCATGTATCTATCGTCGGGCAGAGTGCGATCTGGAATGTGAAATAGAGGAAAAAGAGGCACGAGTCAGCATCTCCAGATACTACCTTGGAAGTGTGTGCGGATAGGCACAGGGATGTGTGTTCGGCTCCGACCGGGTGCATGCCGGCTTCCCCGCGTCCTGTCAGCAGAAAAGAGTGGGTCCCCGAAGCCCCGACCGCGGCGCAGGTTTCGCCGAAATTCAGCCCCTCTCTCCCCTCTCAGGAAAGGCGCGGGACTTCATCCAGCTCCAGCCTATCTTAGCTCTCCTCACACACAATCTTGGAGCCGGCCAACAAATCCTCCCTTTACCCACCCGCATACCTTGCTCACACCCGCACGCACGCCAGCCGCACACCACGAACTCTACCTGCCTTACCTTACCTAGTTGCAAGGGAGAGAGACTCAATGCGTTGTCTGTGAGGCCGAGACCAGACCTGTCTCCCTCCCTCCCTCCATTCTCCGCCACTGCACACAAGCATTCCGCTCCCGGGGTCTCAATTTACACGCACCGCCCGCCCCCCGAGACCTGGAAGCGCGAACCGGCCCGGGAGCCTTGCCTTTGCGCTGGCTGATCGGCGTGCGGCTCCCTATCTGGCCTTGCCTTGACTTTTCCGCCGCCGCCGTCTTTCTCACACCCCTTATCGGCTATCGCGACCCGAACGTCGATGGATCCCGACGACGGTCTGCGTCTGCAACGACACAAGCAGCGCCGCGTCGCGGATAAGGAGCGAAAGCGGGCTGTTCGAGCGTACGATGAAGCCCTTCCCTCACCTTCCCCAGTCCCTCGGTCCCTCTCTCTAAGCCCATCTCCCCTCCCCTCCTAGCTCATCGCCGTCACTGTGGCCCCGTGCAAAGTGCCTTCCATGCTGACGCGACCAAGCTGCGACGGATGCCGGAGACTCAAGGAGAAATGCGACGGCGGAGTTCCCTGCCGGCGGTGCACCCGCCTCCGCCGGCAGTGTGAGTTCCTGACGCCCACGACCAGAGAAGAGCCCGGCGCTGAGAGTGCGGCAAGGTAAACTAAACTTTCTTTTTGTAATCCACGCTTTGTCATGAGTCGCGAGATGCCATGGATCTCCATCAAGTGCTTCAACACGTGGCTGACGAGGCCAACCTTTGGCGGATATCAATAGACCCCGCCCGTCGCACCAGGAGGACTCGGAGTTGAGGCAGCGTATGGCCTATATGGAGCGTCTGCTCGCCCACTACACCGGTCAGAGTAGACTCGATGCCGAGACCTTAAAGACTTTAGCCGATTCCGTAGAGAAAGGACGAGCCGGCCCGGAAGCCCCGGGACCGCAACCAGATCCGGACGCTACCATGGACCCGGACATCGGCGCCGAGGTCGAGGTGAAGTCCCAGAGCTCCGATTCGTTCCAGGTGGATGAGATTACCGTGCAGCCATTGGAGAATAACATCACCCGTAAGATGGGCCCCAGGCATGAGGTTCATGGCGCCCCCAGAACTGACTGTGGCTAGACTACTCCGGCGAGTTCTCACACTGGAACTTTTCCATGCGGATAAAGCAGTGGATAGAGCAGTGTGTAAATGCATGTCCCCCTCGGCATTGACTTGGATCACAAAAGGCTTACATCATTCAGGATACCCCAGACGGTCCCAAGACACAGTTCAAGGAGTACTACCGCCCCGAGGAGCTGCAGTCAACATCCAACACTGTCGCTTCGCTCTCATCACTACCTCCGCGCTACGTGGCTGACTTCCTCGTCCACGCGTTCTTCAACCATGCCGAGACCAGCTACTTCTATGTTGAGCGGCACTGGCTGCAAGAGAAGCTGGACGTGGTGTATGAGAACCCGGGATCCCTCACACGCCGAGATGTCGGGACTATGTGCATCATCCTGATCGTCTTCGCCATCGGCACGCAATATGCGTATCTCGACTCGCGTGATGAGAGGGGCAGGGTGCCGACTGCCCCTGCCGAGTCGAGCCCGTTCTCCGAGGACACCATTGGCATCATGTTCTACCAGCAGGCGTGTAGGCTTGTGCCAGACGTCATCACGATATCCAGCCTGGAGAGTGTGCAAGCTTGCCTACTCATCGGCCTCTACACCCTTCCTCTTGATGCATCCGGACTGTCATACGTGTACCTCAACCTTGCCGTGAAGCTTGCCATACAGAACGGCATGCACCGCAAGTATCCAGGAGACCTCATTGACCCCGTCATCCGCGAGACGAGGAACCGCGTGTGGTGGACGGCCTACACAACAGAAAAGTAAGCGTGGGAGTCGCGAAGCCTTCATCTGCAGTAGTACTGACAACTCCCAGGCGCATCGGCATATTCCATGGCCGACCACTCTCCATCGCCGCCGCAGATGTCGATGCTGAGATGCCTGTCGACCGCCCAAACATCTGGGCCGGCTCACCACCACCAAACACCGCACACATGCTGGCCACCCTCCAGCTAAACCAAGCATTAAGCCGCATCAACCATCAGATGTCAGTACTCCCACCTGCTTCTCCTATTCACAACTAACAAGCCTTCAGCTCCCTCTTCAAGACGTTTGAAAAGCACGAAATCCCAGACGGTATAACCAAGCTGGTCGAGATGAAGGCGCAACTGCACACCTGGTGGAACAACCTCCCAGAAACCACCTTCTGCAAAGACCCGAGCCCCGGATCTGCCGTCTTCCGCCCGGACATGCACCTGCGCCTCGAATACTGCCTCGTCCGCATGTTCGCCGGCCGCCCCTTCATCTTCCCCCGCGAATCCACCCGCAGCACCGCCTCCTCCTCCGGCTCGCCCGCCGACTCCGCCGTGCCCCCGCGCACCGGCTCCGCCGCCGCCGCCGCCGCCGCCGGCAAAGCCCACCCGCGCTCCGTCCTCGTCGCAGACTGTGTCGACGCCGCCCTCTGCGTCGTCGAGACCTGCCGCCTCCTCCGCAACAGCATCGGCCTCGCCCGCGCCTCCTACACCGAGTTCTCCTCCTGCCGCGCCGCCCTCCTCGTCATCATCACCCAGTGCCTCCAGAAGAAGACCGACCGCCTGCGCGAGGCCCTCCGCGACGGCCTCGCCATGCTCAAGGAGATGTCCACCGGCGGCGAGTCCGCAAAGTCAGAGATGTCCCTCATCGAGGCCTTCGAGCGCGCCATCTCCCGCCTCGACGCCAACGACGACGCCGCGTCGAGCTCCGCCAAGGAGTCCGACTACGCGCGCTTCAAAAAGTGGGAGATGCTGTGGAAGACGGACACGCCGGCGCACGACGCGCGCAGCGAGCGGAGCCACGATGCCGGGCTGCCGATCCCGCCGCACCCCGCGGCGTTCTGGCGGACCGGCGGCGGCCACGGGCATGGTGGTGGTAGCGGCGGCGGCGGCGGTCATGTGGCGCCTGGGACCGGGAGGCAGGGGACGGCGTCGCTGCCGCCGGCGATGCCGTTCTTTGGTCTCGACGGGAGCCTGTCGCCAATGCCGCCGGCGCTGGATGAGTTTTCAGCCATGTTTGGGAATGGTTACGTGCCGGGGTTCGAGGGCATGGGCGGGAGCGTGAACGGGAACTGGATGGGTTTGTAAAGCGAGAAGAAATCCATTGAACGAGGGAAGGCGTTTCTGGTAAATTTTCCTGGCTATTGAGGAGGGACTTTCTTGGATGAAAAAAAATGACCACGCGCCGCGAACAGCCGGCTATGGGGAGAAGCGATATTTTGTATGCACGTCTAATTCACGGGCTGTTTTGTTTGTCCATGCCAATAGATCATACATGATCTGATTCATACACCGAGCTTGAGGCCGATCCAATGAACGCCCGCCGAAGACGCTCTAGGGGCGAAGGCATACCATCGCAGGCTAAGCATAAGCAGCCGGTGAAGTCACGGCGGCTAGCTGCAATCTCGGGGCGGCAGCAAAGCACGAGTTGGATTAATCCGGGCAGAAGCGGTGAGAGAACGAGCTGTCAACATGGCGTGACGGGGTTTTCAGAAGTGGTGTGATTATATGCAGCAAGTGCTCGTTTACGGAGGTGAGAAAATGGCCGGCCATGTTTCACTGCATGTGGTCGAAAACGAGAACCAAATACCATAGGACATCAAAAAGCAGTGCATGGAACTTCAAAAAGGAATCGTTCTCCGAACCCAGAATCGAACTAGGGACCTTTCGATAATCTTGGTAGAACCATTACAGTCGAACGTGATGAACCAACTACACCATTCGGAGAGAACGTGACTAAGCCACGTGAATGATTGGCTGACTGCTGGTCTCGGCGGAGGACAAGTCGATTATATCGCGCAGGGACTGCAGGAATTCGGCGGAGTTTTGTCGTTCACTTAGGACGATTATATCCCGTAAAGACTGCAGGAAATTGGCGGAGTTTTGTCGTTCACTTAGGACGATTATATCCCGTAAAGACTGCAGGAAATTGGCGGAGTTTTCGAGACTTCGGGCGCCCTGCGAGCTGGCCTCCGGGCGGGTGCGGAGAATGCGGGAGCCCGAGTGCTCCGAGCCCGGGCCGCGGAACACGGCTAGGGGAAAGCTTCGGTAATGCATTCCGAGAAGAGATTGCGGCGATTAATTCATTACCATTGTCTACTCGCTTCCGCAGGGGCTAAAATCCCTTCATTTAGAATAGTGGAAATCACTTGTTGCGTTGAATTAGCGTCCATGGGGCGCGATAGTCGTATAACCCGTGGAATGCAAGCCTGGCTTTCTCAAGTTCTTTGTTCGTGTTATGTTATTTGACATGTAGATAGACCTTGAAGTGTTCTACAATTCTTACACTTCAGTATCAATTGCCCAGTTGGCGAGCACGCATTGGTCTCTATCTATGGCTCCAGGTGACTACGCCGACTTGGCTGCCGCATCAGTGTATTTCCGGGGACCCATCCTGGAGTACGACTCGAACTGAA